GAGAGAGAGAGAGAGAGAGAGAGAGATGTTAAATATACCTGTAAATTAATACATAAAAATGAGTATGGTACCATAAGCAAAGCTGCCAATGTTCCATAAACATATTTTCATAAACAATTCAGAAGTACAAAAGCTTTTATTTAAATTCTTCTCCATTACTACCTGAATAAGGATAGAGGAAAGGCAGAAAAGGTAATGTTAGTCATGCATGAAGTGAGAGAATGAATATAGACATTTGTCTCTCTTTGTCTCTGAAGAAAAACTATTGACAAGAGATTCCCCCATCTGCATATGCAGCTGTCACGTCAGATTAGCTCATCAGGTAATGGAAATTTGGCCTCTGATCCAGAAAAGGTCCCTTTGCGCTGAAGAATTGAGACTGTTTCAAAGAGATTGTATTATCTTAGACAGCAGGATTAAATTAATATGGGAATGACTGCTACTGGAGGAACTTTTTCGTTAAATATTTCCTAATGGTTATTATACATAGCATCCACTTCTCATAAGTGATCTTATGTGACATTTGCTCAGTGCTTTTTGACCTTCTTCAGAAACTATGAAAAAACAATGCAAAGTACAATATACCACAGGGGGGAACAACAGAGGCAGCTGAAGGTATTACAAAAATAAATGCTTCATACAAGACCAGTTTTTAGTCAGATACACCAGTAAATGACAATTGCCCAATGTTACTTAGGCTGGATATTAATCTGGAAACAAATCCAGATTGCCTGCACTGTGAAAATATTAGGCAACTTTAATGCACAGTACAGTAAGTGATGTTTTGCAATTGGGTACCAGATCTAAAAAGCACTCTCAAGTTGGGATGGATAAAGGCACACATACATTGTTCTCCCCATTGAAGTTAATGGAGAAATAATCACATGACCATCACATCACATACAAAGGCTGTTGACAACAATTCCTAGTTTTATGTTTCCAAACGGGTCAGTGTGTGGACCTGTATTATATAGAGACAAGCAATATAAGATAAGCTGGAAACTAACAGAACTACATTCATTCTCCTCCATAGACAATGAATATAAATCAAGAGAACGTTTCATGTTTAGAGTACACAAAACCTCATTAGCAGTGCAGTCTTAAACGTTGTCTACTTAGAAGCAATGTCCATTGAGTTCAAGAGGACTTGTTCCCAGGTTATTGTGTACAGGATTGTAGCCTTAATCTAACATAGCAGATATGATCCATACTGATTATTATTAAACCAATGTATATTAATTAAGACACCTGCCTCATTTATTATATTTTTAAAGTATGACACGTTTCACATATTGCATTATCTACGATCAGCAATTTAAAGCAACCATCTGTCAGACAGCATATTAAAAATTTGAATGCACTTTAATTAATTTCTTCTCAAAATGATACAAAAATGTATTTTTGATACAAAATGATACAAAAATGCTTTAGGTGGATACCTTACTTGGTAAACAATTGTAAAGTGACTTTTTTAAAAAAGCAAAAAAATTAAAAAGCACAAAAACCACACAAAAAACTGACCAAGCCAACATTTGGTTTATTCTTGCAATTCCAATCATTGCTGCTGAGGGTTGTGACTGATAACGGCAGTAGTGATAAATGACGCCACTCTTCTATTAAAGGCGGCCAAATTGCAACAACACTGCCCTGACACTAACCTCTTAAACATTGGCCTCGTCCTTTCAACTCATTTCTAGGGTCACAATATTGGGCAATTACTCTGTGCTGTTTATTTAACAGAAAGAGTAAAATGTGAGCCATGATAGCAAAGTGTCCTTTAGGAAAAATAGTGCAGGGTGGTCAAGCTTTTTCTCCAAAGGACCACGTATACAGTTAATGTACTGTATGAGACTTCTTCCTGCTTCTCAGTGTAAAAGGGTGTACTGCATTTTCGTCTTTTGCTTTTTAGGCAAAACAATTATTTAGGTAAATATTTATTTAAAAAACAAAAACAGAAAGGGGAGTTTAGAGGCAAAGTGATATTTATGCCTTCTCACTCAAACCCCAGTAGCTTCAAACATATTGTTATGGGTTTCTGGGTGCCAGAGTTTTTGGGTGTCTGAATTTAGTAAGTGCTAGAATTTAACCTAGAATTTAATGGAAGTGAGAGCTGGACCATGGAAGTGAGAGCTGGACCATAAAGAAGGCTGATCGCTGAAGAATTGATGCTTTTGAATTTTGAATTATGGTGCTGGAGGAGACTCTTGAGAGTCCCATGGACTGCAAGAAGATCGAACCTATCCATTCTTAAGGAAATCAGCCCCGAGTGCTCACTGGAAGGACAGATCCTGAAGTTGAGGCTCCAATACTTTGGCCACCTCATGAGAAGAGAAGACTCCCTGGAAAAGACCCTGATGTTGGGAAAGATTGAGGGCACAAGGAGAAGGGGACGACAGAGGACGAGATGGCTGGACAATGTTCTCAAAGCTACCAGCATGAGTCTGACCAAACTGCGGGAGGCAGTGGAAGACAGGAGTGCCTGGCGTGCTCTGGTCCATGGGGTCACGAAGAGTCGGACACGACTAAACAACTAACAACAACAACAACAGAATTTAACCAACGCTTGGAGAGTTGAGCTGGAAGTCAGACCCTTAATAGCTCAGCTCAGCTTCCTATGCCCAGGTCAGCCTGATAATGACCAGGTTGTTAAGCAGACAAAGGGGGCAGGTAGATGGGCAATTAACAAAGCAGAGATTCTATGTCAGCCGGAAGATGGGTGAAGCCCCTCCCTGAGCTTCACCATGCCCCTCCTGCTTACCAGCAGTGACCCCAGCATTGGGAACCTGGTGGCTCTAATTTAGAGGACCAAATACATTGTTTCTGTGCATGAGACCTCTTGCATGCACACCATGCTAAACTGGGGCAGGGTTTTCTTTCCAAAGCCAGCTGTTGTGATTCAACACACTCAATACCTGAAGGGTCTTGCAAGACTCATATGTTTACATTGATGCTGATTTCTTCTGGTCCACGCTGCCACTGACTATACAAAAGATGCAAGTTTTCTGGCTCTTTCTTGTAGCACCATTTCATCCACCTGTAGTCTGTTGACACACCCTAAACAAGCTGTGAAGGAGCTGCTGTTCACAACCCTATATATAAAAAAGGATTGGTTCCAGCAAACTCTTCTGTTGGAATCAGAGGGGCTTGATCTGGATAGCTCATGCCTAGAATATGTAGAGAAATATAGTGTACTACCTAAGCAAAGTATTCTTTATTAGTGTTTTTATAATGAAAGCCAAATTAATGAATAATAAATTAGTTTTTTGTAACTGCCCTGATATTAGGAACCTCTTTAAGTCTCTCTTTCTCTCTCCCCCGCCCTCCGCCAGTCGCTCTCTGTAAAAGTCAAAATTCACAAGGACCTTCAGAGAATAACAACTTGTGGATTTAATTACAGATAAAAAAGGAAAACTGGCTTCTGTTAGAAACATGAGAAATTATGACCTAAAAAAAAAAAAAAATTAAAATGGAACAGAGCTTCGGAAATGACAAAGTTTGTTCTCAAAAGACAGTCAATTAGTTTGTCATTTTTCTTCTTTAAAGGATGGCCCTCAGTGTGGGGTTGCAAATGAATTTACAATCAAATTTATTCATGAAAAGGGTGCTTATTTTTTAATGGAATCCTCACTGTTTACAACCCTTTTGTAGCTGCGCATAGATCCAGTCTTATAGGTATGGGCTAAAGTCCAGAGTTCCTCCTAAAAGACCCCAGGGCATGTGTTCATGCAAGAGGTGGCTTTGCCGAAGTTCCCTCACTGCTACAGGTTCTGCAGGTATCTGCTCTAAGTACACTTGACTGGTTCTTTCTTTTATACCTGCATTACAAATTGTGTTGGGCTGATTTGCAGGACCTGACAAGGACATGTTGCTAAGCAAAAGGGGTCGTGTAGAAATATGTAGTGGCTGTAGACTCTTTTAGGTACCACGTTTCTGCTACTGCCTTGCTAAGCTCCACCCATAACACATCCTATTTCAGCTGTCTCCATTCATGATCTACTGGATTTCACCTGGTTCTTCCCATTACTTACCAGATTTCACCAGAATACTGCTGGTTCAACTTACAGACTTCACCCAGAGGGCAAACCATTTCATAATCAAAAGATGGCAAACCTCTTCAAGGTGTCAGTTGTGTTCCAGCACAGCAGGTGGTTGGTTATGTGCCATTCTTAGAACCCTGTGCCCCTCTCAAATAAGCACTATTTAAAAGCCCAGAAATGATTATCCCAATTATCCAAAAAATATACAGATTGCAGCCTTTTCTGCTTTTATCAACACCTTTCCCTTACATTGAAAACATAGCGGTCTTTAAGTAGTAGCTGTGTCACATGTATTGTTACTGCGTGGTTTTTTAAAATTCTCATTATTCAGGAAAACTCAGTAATTGAGAGCGCGGAGGATTGTTTTATGCAAGCTTCACCTTTTCATACTTTACAATTGTAATGAGGCAGGTGCTGATAGAGTGCAAAATGTATTTAAATCGAAAAGAAATAATGCCACAATCCACTGTTAATAAGTGTTAGAGTGTCATCGCGCACTTCTCCTCCTATTGATCCACCTGTGCGATGCAGGGAAGAACATGCATGCTAATGTAACCCTCACCATGATCTCCGCCAACTCTAGGGCAGTTCTTTTTCGTATTACGAAGTCTTAGGAGGACTATTATTGAATATATTGTATTTCTATTTGGTACAAGAGAACTGGAATACTATTCATTGGGATATCTGAACAATGCACAGTGCTTTTTTTCTCTTTAAAAATGTTTAGGGGTACTCTCATTTTCCTACTCATTTTGAAATACTGACCCTCAATGAGGCCAAACTTAGATTCACATAATGTTTAGGGGTATGCGCTGCGTCCCCTCAGGGGGAAAAAAGCACTCATCCTGAAAAAACTTTGCACATTATAGCTGAAGGGATCCATTGTGTTTTCATAGTATCATAGAACTGTAGAGTGGGAAGGGACCCTGAACATCATCTAGTCCAACCTTCTGAATGTGCAGCTGTCTCAAACAGGGATTGAACCTTCAACCTTGGCGTTATGAGTGCTATGATTTAACCAACTGAGTTATCCAGGGTTTTCCTCCCTCTTAGCATGCTGTAAGGCAAGAAGAACTTTTATGCTGCACACTGAGTAGCCACCTCTTAGCCTGAACAGTCCAAATCATACAATGCCTCAATAGGGCACAAATCCAAGAAACACAACGCAGCCAATGCCTGGCCATGTTTTCCAGCTGCATTCTTTTTTATTATTATTAAATAGTCCGGGGGAATCTTTGCTATCGGGCATAGATGTTTTGAAGTGCCATTGATTAAAAGAAACATACAAGTTGCCCTGCAACTGTCAGAAGACGCATCATTTCACCAACTTCCTCCATGGTGAATGCATCATTCATGCAAAGTTTCCTGTTAGCTGCTGGAATTTTACTTCCTATAATGGGGTGGTGTGTGTGTGTGGGGGGTGTCACCAACCTTCTTGGGCCAGGCGGCGTATTTGTTCAGAATAGATGGGAGGGGTGAGCATCCAAGGCAATGTGGGCATGTTTAAAGGGTTGTGCTCAGTGTAGCAGAGGCTGAGCCAGGAACTGAGCAGGAAAAGCAAAAAGTCTCTTGTGTATTGTGGATATTTGCAGAGATGTTTACTGAAACTATTAGCACTCGTGGGCACACATGGCACATTGGCAATCCCTGTCTTATGCCCCGCCCATCTGTCACAAGTCATTATAACTGTCAGAATTCCGTACGACCGAGCTGCTCCTCCGGTTGAGTCCTCCGGAATCTCCTCCAACGTTGATTAATGACCTAAACCTTTGATGAGGCTCCAGGCACGTTCCCATTACGCAGAGTATGCAAGCAGCAGCAGAAGGACAAGAAATATGAGCTGCATTGCTAAGAGTTTTATTTCTAACTATACAGACAGAAAAGAATATACATCCTCTCTCTGTGAGAGAGGCAACTGGTACAAAGAAACAGGAAACGAGTAATATCAACATCCATCTTCCATCTCCCGTGAGACTTCCAACAGTCTAGAATGTCTGGAATGTAAACAGAGTCTTGTGACTCCAAGCACTGCACAGTGGCATAACAGAAACCTAACAATAACAACAGCGACAACAACAACAGCAGCAACAACTGCAACATCAAACATATAGGCAGACTCCATCCATTTGATTTTTTATACTTACTATGGAAAACTTACCTGGGAAAATCTCCCAGGGTGGGAAGTTGGCAGAAGAAAGGGAAGCTCTCATGTGTGAGCTGGGAGGGTGCGGCCCCTTCTGTGTGAGACAAGGGTTAAGATCTACACTTGAAAGAGGAATCTGTATTTTCTCTCTCTTTCTTTTTTCTTTCATTTTAGTTTTACTTTTTTATTGTGTTATATGATGAAAAGTTTAAATTAAAAAAATCATGCAAAGGAAGCATCCAACAAACATGAAACCATAAAAATTATTAAGGAGCTGCACTCTTCACTGATGCCACTACAGACACAGGCTTTTGCAAAGTTTAATTTTACTCCTTTTCAAAGCAGAATGTTGAAAGGGGCTTTAAGAGAAACCGGCATGAAGGATACATGCTTGTGTTTGCTCTTTTCTTCTGGGTGGTGATTGGGAGCAGAACAGCGGGAAGAGGAGATAAAAGGCCCTTCAAGTTATTTATTTTTTTAAAAAAAACCTGAGCAAAACGTGTGCACGCAATTGTCACACTTGGTTTTTTACATGATTGTACATGGTTTCTTATACTGAAGTGCTATGCAAAAAAGAGAGCCCAAAAGAGAAAGGGGGGAAAGATAATCTTAGAAAGTCCAGTTATGGATCGAGCATAATATTTCATTTACCAATTATTTCCTAAATATGGAGCATGCAAGCTAACACCTGCCTCTGCCCCACCTCCAAATGAAGCAGCCATGTAAACTTTAGCAAATGAAATTGCACCGTATTAGTGGCACCATTTTTCTCAATGCAAAGCCGCAATGTTGTAAAATGGCTCCCACAACTTCTAATTACAAAAACATTAGCTACCTGAGTCTTCTCCAGCTGAGCAGATTAGCATAGATCTTATATGCTGACAGTTATGACCTTCTCTCCAGCAAACACTTGTCAAAAGTAATTACCTAGATGTTTAGGAAGGAGTAATGCCAGTGTGCTTCTGCCCACCTTTGCTTGTTACTGATCTAAAACAAGTAGAAAGCTTTGCCAAGAGGCGCCTTCTTAAGTCTGGCATACAAAAATTTGTCGCCAGTCTGTCGCAGTTTTTAATGGGATATTAAATATTAGCTGCATGATATCCTGCCAATCAAACCTGCCATCACTAAAGGAGGTAGATAGAAAGAACCACTAGATGAGTCTTCCAGCTCTGTGATTGCTGTCACCATTTTTCTGGCTGTTAGATCAGGTAAGGAAATGAGCTGGGAGCAATTCATGTAATTATACCTTATATACATTTGTCCTCTACTAACTTTCAATCAAGAATTCCCACAAGTGAGACAGCTGCTGCGCTGAGGTCCTGGCTTTCTATGGTTTGGCCACTGTGAGAACGAAATGCTGCCTTAGACGGCCCACCGGCCTGATGCAACAGGCACTTCTTATGTTCTTTGTATTTACTTTATTTACTCTCCCCGCCTAACAATATATTTGTTTGGTTTCATGAGGACTCATTTTTGCAAACTGTTAAACTGGAGCTTGGAGATATGAAACGACTTTCTTAAGTACACATTAGTATTCTTGCTGGTACACATTTAATTTATACATTTACATCAATGGGAGCGGTTTTGCATAGCTGCTCTGAAATCAAGGGGTGCAAAATGAATTCTAATGAGCAAACGTTCCAGATAGCTAGGCTTTATGAAATAAAGCTTCACTAGTATTCTGCACCCCATTGTTCACTGCAAGCTACGTTTGGATGCATCCAACATTTTAGGTTTATCTGCATCTCAAAGCCTCCCTCATAATCATGGTATTAATTACTCATATTCTTTGCTTGCATTAATATGGACAATCCTGACTATGTAAGTTTAGAGGCACACATATCATTGCTGTCCATGAAAAGTTCAAAGGTTGTTAGCAGAGGGGTCATACACAACATTTTACACTGAAGAAGCTCCTTGGAATATACTTTGCTTGACTGTTCTTTGCCAAAAATGTCTGTGTTTAAATTGTGTAACAACCTGAACAATTGGCAGCCCAAATTGATGAGAACCATATAATCCCAAGCTGCTTTTTGAAAACTCACTTTAGGATACAGCAGTGCAGGCTGCTGTTCAGCAAACAATGCAGTACATGTTGCTCACATTGGCAGAGTCCCAAAGGACACAATATAAACTTCCATTTATTTTATTTGATGCAAGTACGTTAATCTGTGCACAGTGCATACATGGTACGTACAATGCATTCCCCCAAGGTACGATCATTGTGAAACGGTTACCTCCAAACTGAAACAACTTGAGGCGTTTAAAACAACAACAACTTCAACATACAGTATGCACTTGTATCTATAGTAAATTTCGACATCGTATCTTCAAAGTTCCATAAAAATTTGTTTTCCTATTTGAAATCTTGCATGGGAAGATGGGCAGGAGAATCCCTGTTCCATTTTCAGTTGGTAGAGCACAAGACTCTTAATCTCTAGGTTGTGGGTTCGAGCCCCAACTTGGGCAAAAAAATCCTGCATTTCAAGGGGTTGGACTAGATGCCGCTCGTGGTCCCTTCCAACTCCACAATTCTATGATTTTGATATGAGTGATACAATCCTGCACAGCTGTTGTGTACCAGCAGAAAACATCTCTTTAAATGTAAGGAGATCAACTCATCTCTTTCATCCTTTCCATGATAAGGAAAAACACTTTTAATATCGGCATGCCTTTCCTCAATCTTGGACCCAGTTTCAGTTTTGCAGATGTGGTGGATTGATACTTAGCAGAAAAATCAAGATGCAGCTGTTAAGTATTTCGATAGTATGGATTTGCTTTATAGTATTTTGTGTTCTGCTGTAAGCCACTTTGGACATATTTATATAAAAGCAGGCTTTAATATTAATAGCTTAACAAGAGAGGAAATAAATCCAATATGCCCAGGGCTGCTAAAAGAGCCTGTAGGAAACAAAGCAACTTAACATGTGACCTGCGTTTTATATGTTGGCCACCACTGACCAGAGCTCAAGTTACCGCCACTTGCATTTTCCAGGAAGTAGCTCCAGGTACCATGTCCAATCATATTATTATAATGAGGATTAAGGTTTCAGTTCCTCACTTGGCTTCATCACTCTTGTGCCAACTGTTTTAGTAGCAGTGTGACTGCACTAAGTCCTTTAGCTAATGATTATTAGTGAAACTAAACATGGGGAAATGGCACTGCGATGCCACTTTGGGAACGAGGCCAAATTAGGCACCATTGCACAAAGAATTAGCAGATGTTACCTATGCATGCTTTAAAGCGATTTTTTCAATCATTTGTTGCTTTATAATGTTCTTGTTACTCATCCAAAAAGTTGTGGCCATATTCTTCAAAGGTGCATATGAACAGGCAAACGTCCAAATAACTAGCAGGTGTAAACTGCCAGAGCTTAGCTGCCCGCAGGGCATTTCTGCAGATAAAAGGCGGTGGAAAGTCCACTGTTTCATTTCAAATGTATATTATCCGTGCTGCTCATTTTAGCAAGAGTCAAGATCAGACTTACCGTCCAATTGTTGGAAATTTATCTGGAAGTAACTCCAATTAATTTCAGCTGAATGATGCATTAATATTTGATTGTGTAGGCTGACTGAAGGACTCATTTTGCCCAGTGTCTGGCAGAGTTGCATAAATAAATAAGATTTATCATAGACTTGTAGAGTTGGAAGGGGCCGTGAGGATCATCTAGTCCAACCCCCTGTAATGCAGGAATATGCAGCTGTACCATACGGGGATCAAATCTGCAACTTTGGAGTTATCAGCATCACGCTCTAACCGACTTGAGCCATTACGAAAAAGAATTTTGGGTATCTCAGTGCTCTAGTTCTAATTCTGGAACCTTTGCTGCCTGCCCATGTGCCCACTCTTTGAGTAATGACTGCTATACCTCTACATTTGTAAATGAATTTTATTATTATTATTATAAGGATACCATGCTATTTCCAGAATTCCCCCCCCAAACAAGGTAAAGGTACCCCTGACCATTAGGTCCAGTCGTGGCCGACTCTGGGGTTGCGACGCTCATCTTGCTTTATTGACCGAGGGAGCCAGCGTACAGCTTCCGGGTCATGTGGCCAGCATGACTAAGCCACTTCTGGCGAACCAGATCAGCGCACAGAAATGCTGTTTACCTTCCCGCCGGAGCGGTACCTATTTATCTACTTGCACTTTGACGTGCTTTCGAACTGCTAGGTTGGCAGGAGCTGGGAGCGAGCAACGGGAGCTCACCCCGTCGCGGGGATTCGAACTGCCAACCTTCTGATCGGCAAGTCCTAGGCTCTGTGGTTTAACCCAATTTGCCATAAAGACTACCCTGAACTTATTACAACTTGGGAAATGCAAGCACAAAGCAGTGTACTTAGTCATTATGCCTTAAAAAAAAAGCTACACTGCATCAAGCTGGATGCTTGGAAACCAATTGTATTACACAATGGGCAAGTTCTGTCATAAAAACAAAACAGAGCATTTCAAGGCCATATAGAGTGAATATTTTAATTCTGGATGGGAGAGAGAGAAGAGAGAAAACGAGTGGGGAAATGGTAGAGGCTTTGAGTTTTTATCATTTTCATGCATTATCACTTTAATTATTGACTATGCCAAGGCAATCTTAATAGGCTTTTTTGTTTCCTTGAAAACTTCTATGAACAGCTTATATCCCTAGGTGACAAGCTTCTGTTAAAGATAATTTGCACACAGTTAGACTATTTAAGGATAGGATTCCCAAAAGCAACTTCTATATGCGGAGCAATTACTTAAGTTATAATTACACTTACAATATATCTGTGGGACCTACAGGACTGTCTCGTATAGGGAGAAACTTTGACAATAACTACCAAGTTGCATGTCTTCTAGTTCTGAAAAGGAGCAAAGGGGCAGGGAGAGGAATGCCATGAGCATTATCAGAAGGTGCACTAAATATTTCTTCTTTGCTTGGTTTGCTTTTAAATTACTTTTACAGCTCTCCACAATATTGTCTGTAATACGCACCTGAAGGGGAGAGAGGAAATGGAGTTTATGCATTTTTATGGGGAACTAGTCCCAAGGCAGGAAACTTCCTTCTGCCAAACAGGGACGACAGGAGAGGTAAAGGCGCAGCAGTGGTGTGGCAAATGTTGAACTGTAGGAGCTCCGCGTGTCCACACCACAAGGTCCAAAAATACAATGAGCTGTGTTGATACACAGCCACACCCAAATATTAGAATAATACCCAGTTGATTAAGATAAAGTGACAGTCACTGAAGAGATGTTTAATGCAGCCATTAAATTAGAAATGTAAACAATCTTCCAAAGAAGTTTTTACCATATAAGTTGCTAGCATGAAACAAGAATCCCATCAAAAACAGGGGGAGCAAGTATCACAGTTTATTTTCCTCATTCTCAGATTTCCTCTGTGTTAATGTGTCCCACAAAGAGCAAAACACGGAAGCCTCGTTCTTGTCTCATTCACTGGCTAGAGCAAGGAGGACCCGTAAATTTCTCTGGTGTTTCGACAGATGACATCATCGCTCCTGCTCCAAAATAAATCTTGGAGCGTCAGTTCCCAACACCATAGAGAAGGCAGAGACAGTTGGAAATTGTTCTTTACCAGAGTCCCTTCTGGACTATATAGTCACATTCTGGCACAGAACTATAGATCCCAGCAAAGTAATCAGGGGGCAGTGAGGGTGTGAAGTTGGAAAGGGTGCTATATATTCCCCCACCCCCTTACTGGTTGCCATTCAGTATTAATATATATGTCCATGGAATGTGTGGGTTATTTTGTATTTATGACCGCATCTGCTATAATGCATATGTGAAATATACTCGCGAGTTGAGTGCTGATTTCATGCTCTTTATTTCAGCTCATAGTAATCAGTGAGTGAGTGCTTTCTCCCAAAACCTCTGGCTATATATACACTATTTACACCATGGGTCCTGTGTGATTGGCTGATTCAACTCCCCTCCTGGAGCCTGATTGGACTGTTCCAGCAGGCCAATCAGGTTGCTCATTCACTTCCTCCTGGAGCTTGATTGGGCTGTTCCTGCAGACCAATCAGGTTGCTGCCTTCTAGGATGCTACCTGCATATTGTTCTAGGATCCAAGCTCAGTACATAACAATATGACTTTCATATCCAAAGATACGAAATTTGATATGTTGGCAATATGAACTATTTCTGCCCTTTCGTCCTCTACTCCTCCGCTACTACTCAGTGCAATCAACTCCAAAGAGACGCGACAGGATTACAAAGCTTGTCCTTTAGGCGGAGGGTAAATTACCGAGATGCATATAAAAGTTATATTTTAAAAACCTACAGGTTTTGTGACCTGGGATTTTGTAAACAACAAGTAAATTATTCTTCCCTTAAGCATTGTCGACCCTAGAATGGATATCAAGTTCCTAGAAGCAATTCCACTGCCTAAGACAAACCAGTGTACTAAAACTAAACAAGCATTTGTCTCCACGGGGCACAAAAGAAGTACAGGTCCTGGATTCAAATGAAGTAGCTGCACCTCAGTCAATGGCATGTATACAGAATACCTCAAAGAGGACAATTTTAAAGCACTTTAATTGGTGATACCCAGTGCATTTATTAAAAGAAACCCACCAGGACCATAATCCAGTCAACAAATAGTGGTGAGTGTAGTAGGACCACCCTCTTGGCACCGGCTTTGCTACAGCTAACCTGGATGGGGTTGGGGTAGGGTGGTGATGACTTCAGGCAGAAGTGGATTTAGGAGAGTGTGACCAGTCACACTGGTTGCAGAGCCTTGGGAGTGCCACAAGGGCGCCGGAACTACCTTGTGGAATGGAAGCCGAGACGCAGGGGGCGCCAAATTCTAGCACCGCACAGGGCACCACTGAAATTTGAGACCCCCAAGGTCTGCTTAGGGCTGCAAAGATACACTGGCAGAGCCAATCCATCACTCCCATGGGTCACACACACAGCACAAACCTTGCTGCCACCCTGCCCCTTCTCAGCCTCACCCAGGTAGCCTGTGGTGACATTACTGTCAACAAGGCAGCTCCAAGTATCTGCCCAACCACACTGGTGAAGGCCCACTCAAACCCAATTAATTTCTGTAGGAAGTTAAGTGCATGCTTAAACTCTGCAACTGAAATTAACGGAAATGGACAGCACTGCGTCTTCACTGTGTTGTGCTTCATATTCCTAAGAAACATGGTTCTGTAAGTTGGTAAGGGTACATGGAGCTTTTGTTAGGAGACAGACACACATACAGTGGAGGTTGATAAAGGGTACACGCACAGCTGTCTAATTCACTTGAGTACTATCACAGAACTTGACTGCACTGGCAGCTGGGGGTCAGAGTGTTGGCGATATCATCCCAGCAACAGTGACACTGCTGCTCATCGCAAAAGAGATAGGGCAGGTGGCAACTACTACTTGCCACTGCCTTTGCCCTCCACACCATGCTAGGATTGCCTCCCGCCGTGTGCCAATAGACTATGCTTACAAATGCACAAACCTACAGGTTAACTTAGGGACGCGGGTGGCGCTGTGGGTTAAACCACAGAGCCTAGGGCTTGCCGATCAGAAGGTCAGCGGTTCGAATCCCCGTGACGGGGTGATCTCCCGTTGCTTTGTCCCTGCTCCTGCCAACCTAGCAGTTCGAAAGCACGTCAAAGTGCAAGTAGATAAATAGGTACCGCTCCAGCAGGTAGGTAAACAGCATTTCTGTGCGCTGCTCTGGTTCACCAGAAGCGGCTTAGTCATGCTGGCCACATGACCTGGAAGCTGTACGCCGGCTCTCTCAGCCAATAAAGCGAGATGAGCGCCGCAACCCCAGAGTCGGTCACGACTGGACCTAATGTTCAGGGGTCCCTTTACCCTTTACCTTTCACAGGTTAACTTAATACCACACTGTATTACCTCCTAGGTTACTTGTGGAACAGTTGAGCGCCAAGATATTCAATCTACTGTACATGCATTCAACCCACAGTACTTTTCATGGCGTAGTATTTTTGCCATTGGAAGCTCCCATGAGATTATATAAGCAACAATTTCAAACCAGTTTGATCGTTTGTTCTTACTCATTAAAAGCGCGCTTGAGTTACCCCGGGCAAAGTTACAGCACAGAGCTTGCCCAGACACCAAAGTAAGCCAGGTAACCATTTGGGGGTGCCTGTCTCAGCACTGATAATGTCTTGGGGAGAGAGGTTATTCCTGCCCTTCTGGGGAAGGAACATTAAACGAGAAGACGAGAAAATAATACCCAGGTCAGCTCTTAATCTTTTAATGTGATATTGTTAAGCTGGTCGGCACAGGACAAGGTACAGGGAGGAGGTGAGGAAGCAGCAAACTTTTAATTCACCTCGGGCAGCAACAAACCTTGGGCCTCCGAGTGGAATTCTAGGCACGATTTCAGGTCAGCAAAACAATTTACAATCAAGGCTAGACTCCAAAATGACTATAATCAAATCCGCACTGCACTGCCATGGCTCTTTTGGAGGAGGACGTTCGCTGTTGATCTGCAATGCTCACCATCTCTGGGTCATGGGAATTGTCAAATTAACTTGACAGCACAAACACATTTATAGCCAATTCCGAAGTCCAGAAATAAAGGCTTAATTGTAGTCATACTTCTTTTGTGCTGTACAGCTACACTAGCTGGAACTCGCTGATGTCAAATATTCATTTAAGAACTGTACGTTTTCTCTCTTTCAAACACAACACTGTGGGCTCTCTTTCATTATAAAAATCCAGGCCTCATTCTCTGCTCAGTTCTTTTACAAATAAGGAAGTGTCAGGCAGTTTTAATTGAGTTGGAGATGCTACACTTAAGTTTTCCATTTAGGCTACCACCCCTTCAAATGTCTGTTTCATTAAATGTCAATCTTCTAGTGATAAGGACCCTTCTTGTTGTCTGAGACTGTCTTTCTAAATTCAATGGTGGGTGGAGAAAAGGGTGCATTTCACAATAAGGATTCTTACCTGCTGCTTTGGCAACATCGGCTGTG